GGGCAGTTAGGATGGTTGAGTTACCAATGCTGCATTAATCAACAACTACTGACCGGAAAAGTTAGCAGTTCCTTTTAAACTTGCAGGGAATGCCTCTTGTGGTTGTACAGTAATGGATGTCTGAGGAGATGGTTGCAAGATTTCTGTACAATATTTATCATAGGTTCTTTCCCTCCGTATATTCCTGATTGAAAAGGTGCTATCCGGTGAAATGGTGAAACAGTTCTGCAAAGCCCAGTCAGATCCACTGCGCCCTCATAATGTTCGGTTTCAGAAGATTTCTCCACTTTGACCACCAGTTGACAGTTGACTAGCATTAATCAATGCATTGTGGCGTAAACTGGTTTCAAAAGTGTGTGAATCTCATCAAAACCAATCAGATGTATAGTTAGCTAAATGTTAGCTACAGCACCATTCAAAGAGGTTTCCAGCTATACCAAAAAAAAATTTAAATAGTAATTTAAATTAAAATGACACGGGAATACACTCTGTGAATGATTTGTCGAAGCAGCATCATTTATAATTCCTGGAATATTTACCAAACACAACAAAGTATCAACAATATCAGTTCACTAACACAACAGTGAGGACACAAACACCATTCAAATTTAATATGTTTCTGACATACTGAAATAAAATCTATAGCGTACTTAAATATATTGACACATTTTTATTTTTCCCGAGCCACAAATTCCGGACATCTTTTGTCAAAAATACTCGGCTTATGAGTTTAAATCATTGGCACAATTGGATAAGCTCATAAGGTACTGAAAAAAATAAAGCCGTGGTCATTCAGCTCACATGCAAACAAAGTTTTGACTTTATCCCCTGAATGCTTCATGAACAACTGTAGCTATCAATGTCATGAGCACAAATATGAATATAGCTCAGATGGCTAAGCTAATATAGTCAGACATCATATCATATCCACGGTATCAAATTTAAAGCCAGCAACTGTCAACATTCACTGTTACCCCTTGTAACACAGTGTGTGTGATCTTGTTCTGAGCCCTTTCTCCAAAAGAAATCTACATATTGCCAGTACAACTGTTACATAAAAAGTATCCTTTGCCAAATCATAGGCTGATCCTCCCATGCTCCCTGACAACGATAAGATTGGATACCTTCCACTAGTGCACAGGGCCTCCTGCCAGAGAACAAATAGTGAATTTCTCGTGGATTATCTTTTTCTGCCTGTTATTGGTTCCATGGCAACAAAAAGGAAAGGTAAATTGATACATTTTTTTTACAATTGCTCGGACATCAACGTAAAATCCTTTATTTTCATGTCACAGGAATCATTGTCTTTGGTGTTTTGGCTTTAGAGCCTTCTCCAGGGAGTCAAACAGACTGATTGGAGTCTGAATTTTAATTCTGGGGAAATAGGAAGTATCCACTTGGAATGGAATTATCCATCGGTAATGCTGCTCCCGTTGGGAATTTTAAAAAGCAACTACATTAGTGCAACAGCAGGACCACAGCGTTAATCTAAAAAGAAGACACATCGTCATCATCAGGTATAACTCTAACAACGAAAATGCATACATTTATAATGAAGGAGGCAAGTGTAATACTTGAATATATACGATCTTTATGGCAGATTAAATCTGGAAATGTCTGTTCTACGTTTGAGTAGTGATCAACAGGATTACATTTTGTATGAATTAGGTTTTAAGTTTTAGGCCAAACCATATGTGACTGTTGACAAATCCTCTCTGTAGAGTAGGGCATCTTCTGAGTTAACTAATGGTCCCAGTCATGTCACTTTGAAATAATACCCCTGGTCTAATTAATCTTTTCTCCTCGTTTGTCTCGTTTTTGGAGAAGCTCTTGGTTGCAGTAAAGGAACTTTTGTTAATGTCATCTGTGGGCATGAACCACTTCCTTCTTCTTAAATAAGTGATATATCCTGTGGGAGGAAACAACTGATTGGAAATTCATCTACTTCTAGAGGGTGAAGAATTTCAAATGGTGGAATTCCATTAGATTCTGTGTTTGGCTCCCTGCAGATGGCTTGAAGGCCAAAAGTAAGACTTGGTCTTTTAAAAATCAGTATTCCTACGAGCATTACGTTTTTTTTTTCAAGAGTGCGTTGAGGTTCTTTGGTTTTCCTGTTTGTTTGAAAAAACACGTCCCATTGCAAATGATCTAATAAGTATTTGAGTACTGTTACAATAAATTGGAGAGCATCGTGCCTATTATATGAAAGACAAGACAAGAAAGAAAGCTACAGTAAATGAACATCCCCTGTCACACATACTCTTTTCTCTGCTAATCTAAATGTGTCTGTATCATGGGTGAATTAACCTTTGGATGCTTATCCATAACAGTTTGTAATGGAAATTGGACAGAACTGGGCCTAATGACTTTTGACAACTCCACTGAGACTTTTCACAAGTGAGAAGGACTGCCGCTACAGTCATGAACAGATATGCAGAGCGGGGGTCAATTAAATGCCACATTTGATCGATCGGGAATCCAGAGGACTGGAAACAGGTCGAGTTAA